GATGATGTTAAGGAGTCGAGGTGGACATCTAATCTTGGGAAGTTTTTTTAAAAGGCTGTCCCTGCTAACCAAATCAAAGGCCTTTGTGAGATCTGTCAAGGCCACAAAGAGTGGCTGTTGTGGTTCCCTACATTTCTCCTGCAACTGTCTGAGGGAAAATACCATGTCGGTGGTGGATCTATTAGCTCAAAATCCACACTCTGATTCTGGATAGACTGCCTGCAAGCTTCTGGAGCCTCTACGCTGAGAAGAGAGATGCCATGGTACTTATTGCAGTCGCCCCTGTCTCCTTTGTTCTTATACAATGTGACAATGTTTGCATTCTTCATGTCCTGTGGTACTCCACCTTTCCTCCAGCAAAGACAAAAGACTTCATACAGTTCAGTGGTGATGATCTCTTTACAGCACTTCAACAGGGATGTTATCCTTCTCAGCTGCCTTGGCGAGGGAATCCAAGGCCCCTTTTATTTCTGCTAAAGTTGGTTCGCTGTCCAACTCTTCCAAGACAGGCAGGCACCTGATGTTATTTAGTGCCTCTTCGGGTACTACATTCTCTCTGGAATATAGCTCAAGAGTAGTGCTTCACACAGCGTTCCATCTGCTGTGCTCAGTCCTGGATGATCACACCTGTAGCAGACTTCAAGGGGGCAGATTTCTTCTGTATTGGACCTAAAGCCTGCTTGATACCGTCATACATTGCCTTGATGTTACCTGCATCCGCTGCTATCTGTATCTGAGAGCAGAGCTGAAGCCAATAATCGTTAGAACATCTCCTGGCAGCCTGCTGGACTTTGCTACAAGCAGCTCGAAGAGCCTGCAAGTTGTACTCACTAGGACAGGCTTTGTATGCTGCTAGACCTCTCCTCTTTTCCTCAATGGCTGGCATCAACTCCTCCGAATGGGCTTCAAACCAGTCTGCCATCTTTTTGGTCTTCTTGCCAAATGTGGACAAGGCAGTGCTATAAACAGCGTTCATGAAATGTTCCCATCGTTCAGGTGCATTTGCATCAGCTGGACCTGGAAGGGTTTCCTCAAGCGCTTGGGCAACTTCCTCCACTTTTCTTTGATCTCGAGTCTTGCTGATGTCAATATATGGTCTTCCTTTTTCGTGTGATACAATCTCTTTGCTCGCAGTTAAGGAGCAGCCCGGGTAGGTGGGGCTCGTCAGCCTTGGAAGGAAAACTCCAATTTCAAACCTCCACTGCCTTGTGGCTATATCCACCAATGGAAAAGGCTTCAGGAGTTAATCTCGATCCAAACTCCGGAGCTGGAGTCCCGGAGGTAGTTCATGCTGTTCTGCCAACTCCTGTGACATCGCTGGAACCAGTTGTATTGGCTCTTGCCTTTCCACTGGACTATATCAGTGACATGGAGAGGGGGGATTTGCTGCTTGGGTAACAGCATATCCTCCATACTATTTTACACAGGCTTTGTGCTCTGGAGAGGACACTCCAGCTTCACATACAGCATTGAAATAACATGGGAACAAAGAAAATATAAATATAGATGTTTTCTTATGTGGCTTATTGTTGTATGACACGTATACTGATCCTGAAACAAGTCAAGCACAACATTAATTTTGCATTATCACAAATGGAACACAGTTTTTTCTTTTTTTTTTTCTTTCAACAACAACAGCAACAAATTTCACTTACATGTTTTCCGGGGGAGGTAGCAGACTTTTGTGTAGAAACCATTTCTTCAATAAGTGTATTGTCCAGACTTCCAAACTGTTCTTGGTTCTCAGGGACCTTGGAAGGACTAGGCTCAACAGCTAGGCTGCTCAGTTCTTCTGGAACAGAGCTCTCACTATTTAGACGAGAACATGATGGTATTGAAGAATTTTCTTCACTGGCTGTTTCTGAGGGAATACAGTAGAGGTTTCAGTCAAACAAGACATCTTACCATTTTTGTTAACAGATCTACAATAGTTTGACTACAGATCTACAATAGTTTGACTACATATTTATCTTTTCCATATTGAGGATATAATGGGAACAAATAGTGCATTGGTTACTTTTCATGAAGGCCAATTCTGGCTTGTAAAAAAGGATACATCTCTAGCAATGTCCAGGCAGCAGAGTTAAACTCTTCCAAGAGGAGCTCTCTTAACTTTGCAAGTGGCTTTCCTCCCTCAAATTTTTACACAGAATGGTCAGTTGGGTGGTACAGAAAGAAAAGGCAAAAACAAACAAAGTAGAAATTTAATGCTGAAAAGAACATGGCACAACACTCAGAAATATAAAAGTAAACAGTCACTGCTGGATGGATCTCCTTTCTTGTAGACCAAAACTCAGAACTCAGCAACATTCACAAACTAAGAAAAGGCACCATCAATCAGTGTGGGCTTTTACTGAAGTCTAAACCAGTGGTTCTTAACCTTGGGTAACCCAGGTGTTCTTGGACTGCAGATCCCAGAAGCCCCAGCCAGCATAGCTGGTGGTGAAGGCTTCTGGGAATTGCAGTCCAAGAACACCTGGGTTACCCAAGGTTAAGAACCACTGGTCTAAACCATTAGATGTGGTACGTGGTGGCGCTGCGGGTTAAACCGCAGAAGCCTCTGTGCTGCAAGGTCAGAAGACCAGCAGTCGTAAGATCGAATCCACGTGACAGAGTGCGCTCCCATCGTTTGTCCCAGCTCCTGCCAACCTAGCAATTTGAAAGCATGTAAAAATGTGAGTAGAGAAATAGGTACCACCTTGGTGGGAAGGTAATGGCGTTCCGTGTCTAGTGATGCTGGCCATGTGACCACGGAAACTGTCTTCAGACAAACGCTGGCTCTATGGCTTGGAAACGGAGATGAGCACCACGCCCTAGAGTTGGACACGACTGGACTAAATGTCAAGGGGAACTTTTACTTTTACCTAAGCCATTAGAAGAACTAGAGGTAGGGAAGGTAGATGGTAAGCAAAAGGGTTAAATTTTGTTTGGTAAAAGGTGTTTGAGGATTCTCCGGGAAATACTGACAGAGGTCTATACAGTGGTGCCTCGCAAGACGGGCGCTCCGTTTAACGACGAATCCGCATTATGATGAGGTTTTTGCGATCGCAAAAGCGATCACAAAATGATGTTTTGAATGGGGGAATTTCGCTACGCAATGATCGGTTCCCTGTTTCGGGAACCGATTTTCGCTTCCCGATGATCAAAACAGCTGATTGTCGGGTTTTCAAAATGGCCGCCGGGTGCTGAAAATGGCTCCCCGCCGTGTTTAGGAGCCATTTTTCACTGCACAGGCACCCGAAAATGGCTACCCCATGGAGGATCTTCACTGGACGGTGAGTTCTTAGCCGATTGGAACGCATTAACTAGGTTTTAATGCGTTTCAATGGCTTTTTTATTTTCGCTTTACGACGTTTTCGTTCTACAGCGATTTCGCTGGAACGACTTAACATCGTAATGCGAGGCACCACTTTACAGTATATTGATTTTGTACTGATTTGTAAGAAGTATGAATTAGACCAGGTTTCTACTATGCAAGTCTGTGCTTGAGGAGGAGGAGGGAGACACAGCTGCTTTAACTCACACAGCAAATAGATGTTTTGCATGTGGCTCAAACAAACATTTGAATCAAAGCTGCAAGAAAAAGAAGAAAGGAAGAAAGCAGCCACAACATGGTAATGAATCACATTTAACTGATACCATTTGCAACTCAGGGGATGATGGAAATGAATGGGTTATAGATTCAGGTGCCACAACAAACGTGTTAAAATAGAAAGCTGATATATGACTACCAAACTGTGAAAAATCAGCAAGTATTTTTGGCTGACGGATTGAGTACCAATATATTGGGTAAAGGTAAAATTAAACTTCCATGCTTAACTAAGGCTATTAATGTTGTGTATGTTCTCAAACTGAAACATAATTTACTAGCAGTAGGTTCATTAGCTATGGAGGGTTTTACAACCACATTTCACAAAGAAAAGTGCGAAATAAGAGGTGCAGATAATTCTGTATTAATTGGCTCAATGAAGAATAACATGTACAAACTGAGTAATTTAGATGTGAACAATGTTTATAATAACGAATGTCCTCACAAAGATTGTATACATTTATGTCATTTGAGACTTGGACATCCCAATTATAAAACATTACAAAAGACTCTAGAAAACTCATTTGGAGCCAATATAAGAAAATGTGACAAATATGTAAAATGTCAAGCATGCCAAATAGCTAAGAGTAAATGTTGCACCTATCAGGAGATATAGTAATGTGCAAGTAGAAAATATTCTTGATTTAGTGTCAATGGATATAATTGGTCCCAAACAACCATCAATAGGAGAAGCAAAATATATATTAACAATTCAAGATCAGAAATCCAGATTTGGCTTTTGCTATCTAATGAAAGATAAAACACACTGAATTTGAAAAATGGTTGAAATTTGTAGAGAGAAAAACTGGAAGAAAATTAAAACAAATACAAACAGATAATGGGACAGAATTTACAAATAATAAATTTCAAGCTATACTAAAGAAACATGGAATAGTTCATATAAAAGCTGCACCACATACTCCAACACAGAATGCTTTTATTGAAAGCATATACTTATACGCTGACCTCCAGCATAAGATTTATATGGAAATGCCTCCAAGTATTGAAAAGAAGGAAGGCAAATGTTGGTTACTTAAGAAAAGTTTATATGGAGTGAAATAAAGTGCATTTGAGTGGAACTTGTATTTAACTAGAACACTGAAAAATAATGGATTTAAGCAAGGAAAAGCTCGTCCGTGTTTATGAAAGAAAATGAACAAATAATTATTCTCATATTTGTTGATGATTTAGCCATATTTGCTAAAGATGAGAAATCTGCTGAATCATTAAAATGTTAAATGAAAATTACAATCTAAGAGATCTAGGATAGATCAGTAATTACCTAGGTGTAGAAATAGAACCACAAAAGGATTTAAGATATCACAAAAGAAAAAGATAATAGTTATTGAAACAATATAAAATGGAAGACTGTAAAGGTTCTAGCACACCAATGAACACAGAATTTGAGAAAGAAATAATTACTGGTCCAGAATGTGATTTTGAAACATACAGATCATTAATAAGGAGTCTACTCTACATAAGTCGATGGTCAAGACCCGATATTTCAACCATGTGACCACGGAAGATTGTCTTCGGACAAAACGCTGGCTCTATTGCTTGGAAATGGGGATGAGCACCGCCCCCTAGAGTCGAACACGACTGGACAAAAATTGTCAAGGGGAACCTTTACCTTTACCTTTAGACATGTTATAAAACTTAGCAAAAGGCAATGGCAAGTTGCTAAACGTGTACTTAGGTATTTAAAAGAAACCATAGAAAAAGATCTATACAGTATATTGAACCTAAAGGAGAGTTGATTATAACTGCATAAGTAGATGCCAATTATGGAAATGATGTGATAACATGTAGATCAACATCAGAAATGACTATACATTTAGCAAATTCCTTGATAAATTGGAGAACAACAAGACAGAAATTCATTTCTTTGTCATCAGCAGACTCTGAGTATGCATCTCCGTCTGAACTGTATACTGAATTGGTATTCTATAAACAACTGGCAATAGATATAGGAATAAAGGTTGATCAACCTATAGAAGTGATGGAGGACAACCAAGCGGTTATTTATATGGCTACTTCTCTTGGAATTAAAAATAGATTGAAGCACGTTGATATTAGATACCAGAATGTTAAACAAAGCGTTGAAGAAGGCTTGATATCACTGAAATATTGTGCAACTGATAACAATGTAGCAGACTGTATGACGAAAATATTTGGACCAACGAAGCATGAGCAATCCTGTAGAATGTTGGGGATGAAGTAAAAATGACTTTATGCATATATATGTATCAATAATATGTACAGTGATGCCCCGCATGACGATAATTCATTCCATGAAAATCGCTGTTTAGCGAAATCATCGTGTAGTGAAAACCATTTACCCGCTGGAATGCAGTGAAACACGTTTAATGCATTCCAATGGGGAAAAATCATCCCTCCTCTGGACATGTTCCACTGCGGCAGTGGATGCCATCAGCCCTCGAACATGTTGGATGTAGTGCGCTGTGAGTATGGCACACGGTTTGAGCTTGCACATGGCTGCTTTGATCTTTCGAATTAATTGTGGTGGGAGAAAGGCCTTTGTATGAATAGAGTCCAAGGTTGCTCCTATGTAGGAGACTACTTGAGAAGGTATGAGATTGGATTTTTTGCATTGATTCTTAGTCCCAATTTCTTTAGGGTGAACAGGGTAAATCTTGTGGCCGAGAGCGCTTTGTGATAGGATCGGCCACCAGAAGCCAGTCATCGATGTAAGGAAAGATTTTTATCTTTTGGGTTCGTAGGTACGGTGCCATGCATTTTGTGAATGTCCTGGGGGCCGTTGAGAGCCCGAACAGTAAGGCAGTGAATTGGAAGGTATCGTGGTGGAACCGGAACCAGATGAATTTTTGGTGAGACAGGTGGATGGAGATATGGAAATATGCGTCCTGCAGATCGATGGTGACGAATCAATTTCCCTGAGACAAGAGGGGAAGGATGGAGTCAAGGGTGAGCATACGGAATTTCTTGTGAAATATGTATCGGTTGAGGTCTAAGTCCATGATGGGCCTTATACTCCCATTGTTCTTGGGGACTGCAAAGTAGTGTGAGAAAACGGTACTGTCAGATGGAATTTGGATTATGGCCTCTTTAGATAACAGGGATGAGATTTCCAAATGCAGCGGCTTGGAAAAGGGAGTAGGTCTGACTGAATTTGGTGGAGGGATGCAGAAAAATTCTATCCTATATCCATGTTGAATGATACTAAGGACCCACTTATCAGTAGTGATGTTTTTCCATTCTCATAGGAATGGAGATAGTCTTGTATAGGAGGGAGATTCATGAGAATTGCTTACCCCTATGCTGAGTCTTGCGAAAGGACTGCTTAGGGCTACGAAAGCATTGTTGCTTACTGTACCGAGAGGGCTGGTACTGAGTAGACGATTGGTACTGAGGCTTTTTGTAAGCAGACTTATGGTACCTATATGGCTGGTATGGTACGTAAGATTTCGCTGTCTTTCTCATCTTATGGATATTGTCCATAGTCTCGTCAGTTTTACAGTTGAATAGTCCTGCAGCATCGAAGGGAAGTTCTTTGATCTTGGTTTTGGTGTTTTCAAGGATGTTAGCTGTTCTAAGCCAAGCGTGGCGTCTAACAGCAATGGCAGTCAGTATGGATTTAGAAGCGATGTCAGCTGTGTGCTTTGCAGCAAATCGCTGTTGCCTGGTAAGGGTGTTAGCCTCTTCATAAATGTTAAGGGCTTCTGCCTTTGTGGGGTCAGGTAGTGATTGCAGTACTGGAACTATCTTGTCCCACAAGTGCTTCTGATAGGTGCCCTGGTAGTTAGCAATTTTAATCAGCATTGCAGCGAACGAATACAGCTTCTTTCCCAAAGTGTCTGATTTCTTTCAGTCTTTGTCAACAGGTGTAACTGATGATCTGGTATGGGATTTGTACTGAGTAGTTTCGACCACAATGGAATTGGGTGAAGGATGCTTGGCCAGAAAGTCAGAGTCCGAACCATGAGTCTTATAGTGGTGCTCAAGTTGCGTGGCACCTGTACCAATGTAGGAGGTTTGTCCCAAGATTTTACCAGCTCAAACAGAGCAGGAATGAGACTGAGGCTAGGAGGAGAGGTTTTGTCCTGCTCCATATCATGGAAGACAAGGTCCTGTTCTTGTTTAGGGATTTGTGCATCGAGCTGCAGGGGTTTCGCCATCCGCATGATAAGCTGTGCATAAGATGAGAAGTCCTCTGACGAGGGCTGAGATGACGAGCCTTGGGTAGCAGTGTCAGGGGCGTCAGAGTCGGTGGACACCGTAGATGGATTAGACGACTGCGAGGCAATTGAAGGAGAATGCCTCGGTACTGTGTCTTCTGGTGCCATTTCCACATCCGATTGGGTGGACTGGGAGAAGGGGACGGTATCGTGGGCATCAGGACCGGAGTAGAGCATTGTGGCTCGAACCAAAGGGTGTCCGCCACTGTACTTAGCACGCTTAGGAAGTCCTGTAGGTACCGTAGGAAACTGCCTCTTGCGAGATGGTGCTTGAGGCAAAAGTCCTGTTGAGCATGTGGCTGACACGGGATAGAGGGAGCCACGGTATGGTACCATGGTACTTGTGTCTGAGGCTCCGACTGGTAAGCGTAGCCTGACTACGGACACGGTAGGAATGGAGTGTAAAAAGAGTGGCCAAACTGAGGTAGTCCTCGTGGACGGTACTCATTGCCTCCATCCCGAGGCTGGTAAGGAGCGATATTTTTGCGCTTCACAGTACGTTTCCTAGGAGTTTCACGTTCAGACTCCTGTTCAGATGGAGACTCGGTATGAGACCGCTCTGAGTATTGAGGGCTTGTATGGGCAACGTCCCGGCTGGCGTCTGGCTCAGCCTCAAATCGGCCCAAGTTTGGTAGCATGCACATATGTTCCTGAGCCGTCTGGGCTAAAGGAATGTGCTCCTCTGCATCAGAGAGTCCAACTGCTTCCCTCGAAGACTCCTCGAGCAATATCGAAGGAGCAGGAGGAGGTACAACAGGCAATTTAGCCGGTTTCTTCGCTCTCTTAGGCTTATCGGTAGCATTCTTTTTTGCAGGGCAAGAAGGCGGTTTGGCTTTTGGCAGTTTGGAAGCGTCCTTAGCCTTAACCGGCACAGAGACGGTAAGCAGCGGTTGGTCTGCCAAAGAGTCCTGTTTAGAAGCCTCAGCACGTGGCGGGTACAGTGCTGTGAGGGAGGCGCTTTCCATGTTTGGAGACAGAGTCTTTTCGTAAAGGAAAGCTTGAAGTCTTTGGCGCCTCAGCTTAATTACTTGCTTTGAAAAACCTTTGCAAGCAGGACAAGACTGATCTTGGTGTGATTCTCCAAGACAAAACATTTACCGTGTCCGTCTGATAAAGGGATCTTCTGAGAACAGATGACACACTGCTTGAAGCTCCGAGGGGCCATAAACAAAAGAGAAAAAAGGGGAATTGTTGATGGGGGGGGGAATGGGACAGAACACAAGAAGTAACTCAAAATCAGCAAGTTCTGTCGAATAAATGTTAAAAGTAAGATAAAGTAAATAATAAAACAAGAGAAACAGGGTAGCTAGCTAGCTAAGTACTTAACGGTCGATAGCTCTGCTCTTCCTACGTCCTACAGGAATGGCGGAAAAAGAGGAACTGAAAGGAAGATGGAGGAGGCGGGGCTTATATACCCCACGGGGGGAGCTAATTGACTCTTTTTTCTTAAGCTCTAGAATCTTCCGGACGTTCCTGCACAGGCGCAGGATAACCCGTTTGTGTGCATTCACAGAGACCACTACGAAGAAATAAGGATAGTTTGGGGAGTGATTAATTTGAGTGTAACCTGTGATAATTACTATACAGTAGAAGGTTAATATTGAAGCTTGATGAAACTTGAAGACTGTGCTCATGAATTGTTCCAGAAACCAACTGTAATCAATAAACCTGTTCTATTAAAAAGTCAGTACTGAGTGGACCTTCGTCTTTGCTAAGGAAAATAAGTTGATGAAGAGATCAACTGGTGGCAGTGTGTCAAGAGGTTTTTAGTTTGTGAGCTCTGTGTTTGGGGAGACAAACAGGGGCCACAAGAGTGAAGTTGTGTTTTTTTCCTGATGAAGTAGAGAGCTGAAGAGGGAAGGACCAGGGTATTGGACAAACTGAGATGGTACAGCTAATACAAGGCAGAAGTTCAAGCAAAGAACACAACTGAGAGGTTGGACCAACATAAAGTATCTAAATAAATGTACGCAGGTGTAAATGCAGCACAATTCAGTTGACCTTGACAAACGCAAGGAAATAACTGGAGGAGGAGCCAAGCCTGTGCAGTTACACAGCTATTCTTCAAAGATTTTAACCCTATCTTCTCTGGCAGCAGAGGGTGTAACCCACGCTCACAGATTTCTCCTTCCCACAGATGAAGGATATATACATATCCTCGTACAAGAGTCACTTGCACAAATGAAATAATAATTTTAAAAAACCTACCACAAAATCAGTGAGATGTATAAATAATTCAATAATTAGACACTATGAAGAAATAGTCATATGCTTCATAGTACTGGGATCAGTTCTAAAAAGTGATGTTATCTGAAGTTTGTAATGGCCCCAGTGCTGAAAAACACAGACTTTATATTAGCTTTCCTCAATCCAGAGCTCCCAAGCTATGTTTGGAACAACAAGAAAAATTCCATCATTGCGAGACAGCAAGGTAACTGGTCCTGCTGGTAGAGGATGACAGGAACAGCAGTTCAAAAACATCTAGAGGTCATGATGAAAATCCGCCCCCCCCCCCCCCCAGTTCCGGAAGATGTAAAGAAATATACAAAAAAACAAAGTGACGATCAGGAGAACCCATTTGTACCTGTAACTGCTGCATTAATCAAGCTCCTGTTGTTCTAAGTATGCAGTTTTGCCACACACAGAGCAATTGAGCCAATATCCAGGATTCTGGTATACTATATTTCCTGTTGCCACATTTTCTCATGATTAACCATTTTAAATGGGAGTTGGGAGTTAAAACAACCTAAACAACCTTAAAACAACCTAAACTACCTTACTGTGGAAAAACAGATGGAGAATGTGTAGAGGAGTTTGTGGTTTACATATCCACAGACCCTTTCCAATAATCTGAAACACATTTATATTAGTTTCAAAGGAACATCCAAGAAAATGGACTCCAAAAAAAAAAAAAATCATACAAAATCAATCTTATAAAGACTGAGGATAATATGCAGTTTTATTTCATGACAGATAGTGAGGTCTCTTATTTTTATTGGCGCAAATGACAGACTAACATGAATATATCTCAGGCAAAGTAAAATAAATCAAGGAGGGCAGATACTCTAAACACTCTTGTGACTGCTAATTGTTGGTTACAACAAAATAACCCATCTTTCTTGTCTAATGCTTTGTTCCTCCTTCTCTTCATGTCTAGCCAAGAATATATATCATGTATGGGTGGTGGTAGTAAGGAACGATGATCAAACAGAGAATTCACTGTTCCTAACTATTTCCTAGAGAATTCACTGTTCCTAACTATTTCCTATAGTTATTCCCACATGCCACCAAGCAGCACCAAGGATCAAGCAGGGTAGCTAAAGGTAGCCAAAAATGCTTCCTCCATTCAGATTTAGAAAGAAGTCAATGATCAGTTCAAGAGCAGTCAGCAGCCAAGGGCAAACAAAGTCTGTGTTGTTGGTCTCTCTCCCTTAACATCAGGCCATCCTCAAAAAAGCAAAGCTTAATGCTCACATGAAAGGTTGGCCAAAATATATAGCTCAAAAGACTGTGGAACCGATTTTGATGTAGTGCATCCCACACCACAGGGAGCATATACAAACAGCTTTGCCATATGATTGAGACCAGCTGCATGTACCTTCCCCATACAATTAGAACACTGCTGGAAAAAACATATTGTACTTCAAAAGACAGCTCTCATTTTTGTACCTTTCTGATTAGATTTTTGGTCTCCTGCTCCCTTGTTGTGTGCTTTTGCTTTGTGCAGCTCTTTGTCCCAGGCAGCCAATGCTTGTTTTTCTATTTGACGTATCTCTGCTTCTTCTGCATCTAAACGGCGCTTCCACTGCAGTAGTTCTTCAGCATGCTGGCGACGCTGCATCAATTTCTGTTCTCGCTTTGTCAAGAATCTACCAGAAAATTATGGAGAAACTGATCATTAATACTCTGAAATGAGATATCTGACCCTCCATTATAGAATATACAGTTCAACTGAAATAGTTTGCCATTGCTTACTGAATATTGCCAGCAAAAATGAAACAAGTGATTCTGTCCACATACAACTGAGATACATACCTCATGTTCCACACAAATCTGCAAAAATCCCTTTCTATGAGAAAAACAGCCCTGAAGCAATCTTATTTGTAGGCAAAATAACATTTATTTCAAAAGGGGAGTCTATAGCTATTAATGAAATTCTCCCTGCACATAAGAAAGATTCTTGTCCCATCTAGTTTGATTTTTTCACCAAATCTATGAATTAGCAACCAAACATCAACTGCAAACCAGCTCTATGTCAGTTGAGACGACTGGTTTGGGTTTAAAACTGCATTGCTAGGAATTAGAGGTGGGCACAAACCTCAGTATATGTCTCAGCTAGCTCCTCCACACACTGGTCTTTCCCTCCTCTTCATGCGATTGTCCAATCACAGGAGGAGCATGTGCTTTCCTCCTCCACCTCCTCCAGCAGCTGCCCACTCAGACAAGGAGGCCGTGCAGTGATTCCTGCAGCACTGTCTTTGAGTGGGCAGCTGCTGGAGGAGGTAAGCACATGCTTCTGCTGTGACTGGATGATCATGTGAAGAGCAAAAGAGTAGTACATGCTCGCTGTGGAGGAGCTGGCCAGGGTGGGGTGGGGTGGGGTGGGGTGAGCGAAGGGAATGTGCGACACCTGAGATGCGGCACCAATAAACTGGCACAAACCTCCGAATGGAGGTCTGTGCCCATCTCTGCTAGCAATACAGACATTTACCAAACTTTCTTTCTGAATACACTCTGCTGCATAGCACATTACTATGCAAACCTCCAGAAAACACTTGCTGAAATGTTATTTTCCCATCTCAATCAGTCCAGTTTGTCCCACTTCCTCCAAAAATTAGCACTTTCTAAATGTTGGTAGTCATGACAAAGGGACTTGAAAGATGCAGACAGTACAGATACAGAGATAGTCAAATCCTAATGGCAAAATGTTTTATGCTAATATAATGCAAGTAGCAGATTTTACCTTGGAATTATGGTGCCCAGGGAAGGAAAATGAAATATGCCTAGCGAGGTATATATGTAACAACTGAATAGGTAATTCATAGGCTTTTAAACAGTACCCCAAAATTGGAGGCAGGCTATATCATTGTTCCTAATTAGTAAGGGTAACTCTGATATTAAGAGACAAAAAACAAAGATTGGAAGACTACCAAGCTAATACTGAAGCGTAAATTTAAGGTAGAGTCATGTGGAAAAGTAAGTGCACCCACTTTGAATTTTATGGTTTCACGTATCAGGACATAATAAAAATCATCTGGTCCTTAGCAGGTCTGAAAATAAGGTAAATACAAACTCTGATGAACAACAACACATGATATATTACACGGTGTCATGTTTTTTTAAAATAAAAATAAAGCCAAAATGGAGAAGCCATGTGTGAAAAACTAAGTATACCCTTACTGATTCCATAGGAATTAAGAGGCTAAGTAGCAGCCAAGTGATGCTAACAAAATGCTCTTGAGTAATTGATGATCAGCAAGTGTGAGCACTTCTATAAAAGCTGAAGTTTTAGCAGTTTGCTGGTCTGGAGCATTCTGGTGTGTGTTAACACAATGCCAAGGAGGAAACACATCAGCAAGTATTGTAGGGAAGCAATTGTTGCTGCCCATCAACCTAGGAAGGGCTAGACGGACATTTCCAAACAATTTAAAGTCCATCAGTCTACAGTGATGGATTATTCACAAGTGGAAAACATTAAAGACAGTTGCCAGTCTTCCCAGGAGTGGATGTCCAAGCAAATTCACCCCAAGGTCAGACCAATGCTCAGAGAAATTGCAAGAAAAACCTAGAGTTCCATTTCAGACTCTACAGGCCTCAGTTAGGATGTTAAATGTTAATGTTGATGACAGTACAATTAGAAAAAGACTGAACAAGTATGATTGATTTCGAAGGCTTGCTAGAAGAAAGCCTCTTCTCTTGAAAATGAACATGGATTAGGTTTGCTAAGTTGCATCTCACAAGCCACAAGATTTCTGGAACAATGTCCTTTGGGCAGATGAGCCCAAAGGGGAGATGTTTGACCATAGTGCACAGTGCCACACTTGGTGAAAACAAACACAGCATATCAGCATAAACACCTCACACCAACTTTCAAGCACGGTAGTGGAGAGGTGATGATCTAGGCTTGTTTTGCAGCCATAGGACCTGGGCATCTCACAGTCATGGAGTCAATCATGAACTCCTTTTTATACCAAAGTATTCTAGAGTGAAATGTGAAGCCATCTGTCTGACAGCTCATTGCTGCTAAAGGTGCTTCTCCAAGCTAATGAATCACTAAAGCATACTTCAGTTTTTCACACATGGCTTCTCCATTCTGGCTTTAGTTTTGTAAAAGAAATCATGATATAGTGTAATATGTCATGTTACCTAGAGAAGCCAAAATCACAGAAAAGCTTTTCATGACTCTCCTCTACAACATCTCCCCGTTTGGTGAAGATTGGGCTTCCCCAAGCCAGCTGCTAAAGGGCACATTCCTCAGGGGATCCTTTTGTAGGTGCCTGTCTTGGATGTGTAAAACACAATCTTCTCCAAACTTGGAGAGATTGTAGAAGAGAGTCAGGGGAATATTCTCTATGATTTAGTGACTCTAGGCGGCTGAGGGAAACTTTCCTGGGTGGGACCCTATTTGTGGGGGTATGACTCAGACATTTGAAACCCAAACTTCATCAAATTTGCAAGACCTGTTGAGAAGAGTCAGGAGAAGTTTTTCTGTCATATTGGTGTCTCTAGGTGCTGAAGGGGGCATTGTATAGGGCTTTAAAGGCAAAATTGAATGGACAAATTTTCATCAGAAAATATTGTAAATGTGTTATTCGTGATTTGTTGAACTTAATGAATCAAAATCAGAACAAATCACAATTTTTCTGATTCATTCCCATCTCTAATCCTAATCTAAGTTTAAATCAAGTAAAAATCCAGACCTTTCCCAAACAATACTGAAACTTCAAAGTAATACACCAAGTTATTCTATTTCATATTTGGTAAAAGAATGTGAAGGTGGCAGATAATATGGCAGGATCTCCTTCCAAAAAAAGTGTATAGTATACTATGTCTTGGCATTAAAAGGAGGGCCAAATATATTACATTCACTTTTAACTTGGTTTGTGTATCAAGTTCCACAAAGGAGTAAATAAGTAAGTCCAAGCCAAGATGCAGGTATTCTTTCGGCTCATGAAATTAACAGTATGTTACAGCAGTTTGCTGCTGATTATGCTCAAGTTTTAAGTATTTGTATGTTTAATTATAAACTAAAAGACCCAAAACCAATACACTGACAACTGCCAGACAATCATCTGGTGGAGAGGAGCAGCACACTTCCAGTTACAAACTATGGTAAGACATACTGTATACCAAAATATTTTCACAATATTGCTGACCAATTTTAGGTGTTTCTTTGGTTAGAATGAATCTTTTGGCAAAACTTTAACCGGAAACCTATCATTTCAAATTATTTCATCCAACTGTTTTCTCAGAGCTGTAATTTTTTCCAATTAATGGAACTGTAATGGTGAGAATGGTTTCAACTTCACCTGTCTATATGTTTCCAGTAAATCTGGGGGTAAGGTTCCTACTACTAGAAAAACATGAACGATTCGCAGTTTCCCTCTGCTCACCAATATTCTAAAAGTGTAATGCAATGTTTCAAACCAACTAAAAGAAGATTTGGTTATTGACCATAACTACAGTTCTTCAAGTGATGATCCATGTATCCACACAAAAGGGTTTTGCGCCTGCACGAGCACCTCTTCAGAAAGTTCCAGACCTTCATAAGCAAAAGTGTACTGAGCAAGTGTGGACCCCCTCTCCTCAGTACCAGTTGTCTGCCCCAACATAGAAGGTGAAACAAGAGGGGAGGTGGGCAGCTTGTTTGGTTCTCGATGAACCATTGTTACAGTGAGTAATCAAGTCTTCATGGTGTCCCTGTATGCACACAAAAGGGCTGACTGGCAAGCTAAAGTTTGAAAGTGGGAGTTAGGCCAAAACAGATGATAAACAGCCTGACCAAATGAGGTATCTTTCTGTGCCCCAAGGTCTAATCAGTAATGAGTGACAAACGTCAGTGGTCTAGATCACGTAACTACTTGGCTAATGTTCAGTATGTCTATGCCATGGGGAGGAGACTGGGTTCCCCATACTTGAACCCTGGTACAAACAAAACCCCTGGTAGTCTGTCTAAAGTCGTTTATTCTGTCTAGGTAAAAGACCAAGGCCCTCCTGACATCCAGAGAGTGGAGTGAGCATTCCTGCAGTGAAGGATAAAAGATAGGTACGATCATAGGTTATGACATGTGGAAGCCATTTTTAGGTAGGAAGGTTATATCAATATGTAGAGTGACCTTGTAAAATATGGAGGGCCACATTTGAATGCTGTGAGCTCTGCTGCCTGGCGGACAAATGTAAAGGCCACTCTTAAAGTTAGGAAATGTAGGTCCATTGTCACCAGTAGTTCAAAAGGATGTTTGGTGAGTTGAGACAAGACCAGTGAAAGAGACCACAGGTCTTGTGTGAGTCTCAAATCAGGATAGGCATTCTGAAAGCCTTTCAAAAACCTCTTAACCATCTGGTGCATGAAAAAGTGGGGGGGATGGGTGCCAGGTAGACTTTTATAGAGAAGAGAGAAAATCCCTGTTGCTTGAGGATCAGTAGAAAAGCCAGAATAGTAGTTATAGATGTTGGGAGAATCCAGCAGATTGTGCAAAGATGTGTAGCGTTGGAACTTTTTTCACTTGAAGCTATAGAGATGGTTAGTAGGGGATTGACTGGCCTATCTCAAGATGTTAGTGAGCAGGAGGATATCCTCCAAGTGGTAAGCTTCAGGTGAAGCATATTGAGATGAAGAACTACGCCCTAGTGATGAGAGAAGGTTGTG